ACCTCCATTCACCTCCCCAGCTGGCCTCTGGCGGTGCTAGCAGTATAGCGTGTGGCCTAGAGGTCGGGGAGCAGAAGGGAGGCATAGGGGAGCCGACGGGAGGGAGCCAGAATCATCAACTGCAGACTATTTTCAGATCTGGAGTCATTGAACATTTTCTGTCCTGAATTTTTGGCTGAAACAGTAGAGCTGCTTGCTGAGAACCAGGGCGTCTGTCTTCCCTTTTGTACTTGAATATTCTTCTTAGCGCTTCATGTCCTTGGAGGGGAGAAGATGGCTGCAAGGAGCCCATCCAGCTGCTGCCCTTGGCTGCAGGTGGGTGGATGTGCCTCCCGCCTGTCCGTTGGCTTGGCTCTCTCTGGCAGCAGCGGGTGGGCTCGTAGCCTGTGTTCCCTGTTAAGACCCTTTCACTCCTGTTTTGTGTGATCCAGCCTTGTCATTCTTTTCCCCTCTGCTGATTTCAGTGGGAGCTTTACTCTGGTTGGACCCACTGAGGCTGATGACTCACTGATGACCCAGGTGAACCAGCAGTTAGCTAGTTTTTTCCTCTGTTATCAAAAGAAAAGCCAAGGAAGGGTGGCTTCTAACTTGGAGAGGGTGCCACAGTCACCTGACCCCACTGCCTGCCACCTGCCTGAGTGACAGAAGGTAGGATCCATCTGTTTGTTCCAATGTGACTAGATCACAAAAAAACAATTAGCAGGTTGGAAATGTATTTTTCAGGACACACATAAACCTGCCATTACAGGGAGGATTCTGCTGCTAATTTAGATGCAAATGGAATGGCCCAACTAGAGCTGATTACAGAAAGGTCAGAATGTCTATATGCTCAATTTCACTCCTATGCTGTGCAATAAGTTAATGTGCTGCTGCAGTTGTGGGCATGATAGCTGGCTTCGGTTCTGGCTTTAATTCTTTTTAGAGAGCTTTGGTTTTATAGAAGTAGAATGTGATGCGTGGTGTCACCTCCTCCCTTCCCACCCACCTCCTTTTTAAAAGAAAACACACTGTCCATTTTGCCTATTTCTGAGAAGCTTGAAATTCTAATAAAAAATAAAAACACACTTTTGGAGCTCTTAGCCTAAGACAAAAAAGAGTAGATTGATTCTAAATTCAGTTGCCATCCTGTTCAGAAAACTGATCTCACCTATGTGTGCACTTCTTCCAGGCCAGACCATGCTGGGTTATAGCCTGGAGCATAGGGAACTGGTGATGAGAACTGGTGGGTGAAAGGATGGCGTAGATGATGGTTAACTGTGCTCCTGTGGTGTTTTTTAGATGTTTTTAGCTGCAGCTCACAGTCAGAAATAATATTTTGCATGTTTGCATATATATGTATATTCACTGAATTTGCAAGCAAAGCCCATATATTTAATATATTGCATTATATATATTTTCAACAAAATATGTATACACAAGTTTGACAAAACAGGACTTGCCCTTACTACGTGCAGGGTACTCTAATATTTTCTATTGGAATCTGGTCTAAACCATTAATGAACTAATAAACTGAATTAACTACCCACTCTTGATCTCAAACTGTAGTTTTCAAAACACCGGCTTGAGGGATTGGTGAAGATTCTTGGCATGAAGAAGGACCCAGACAAGGGCTATAGGAATGTACAGAAGACGGACAGAAAAAGATTTATTTCCAAGGATGGACTAAACGGGACTCAATAGCAGTAAAGTCAAGTACCTGAGTCAGGTCTCTATTCTGGAACTTGGGTTGAAAAGTAATCACATAATAGCACCTAAGCAGATATGTTCTTTAGAGTAACAACTGTTCTTATCTTGTCAAGGATAATTATTCGTTTGTGGACACTGAGTTTTCTTTAGGTGATTTCAGTCATTGTGGCCCACCTTTAGTATGAAATAACATTCTTAAGCTTTAATATCCCTAAACTTTATTATTGTGTATGATATGGCAGTAAGGTAGAACGTCATTTACTGTTTCTGTTAGTATTTCTATGTAAATTCGTAGCTACCTGCAATTCTTTATAGAAAAAGTTAAATAAATATTGATAGTCATCTCTAAGACAGAGATCTTACTTATATTAACAGTGGATTGTCCTTCATAATGGGTGCATGAAGAAGACACTACTTTACAGTCTTGCTAACACTTCTTTGGGGCATTAGCAGAAGATTTTGTTTTACATTCTGCACAGCAGAGCATCTTTTCCCTTGTGGTTTATTGTTAGCTTTCCAGTGATCACACTTAGGCTCTGGTCTCATCCTCGTTAAGGAGGTTGCCTATTTGGGGGGATTAGAGGAAGTTTCTGAAAGTAAGATAATGGGACAGGAAAAGATTTTCTGGTATAAAAATCTCCTAAAGGCTCTGAGGATATGGTGGAAGGAAAAGATGGAAGGAGAAGGGAGCCAGATTTTCCTGATTTGGGTATTAGTTTAATGTGAGTATGATCTCAGTTCATAAAAATACGCAACTTAATGCTTAATGGACTTGGGTTTTTAATATTTATAGCATGTTATATAAATATTATCCCTCCAAGTGCTTCTTAAATCCTCTTAGCTTATAAATGACAGCTTTGATTTCTAAAAAGAAATGAAATCTTTTCATTTATCCAGCCTAACAGTAGTAAACAATAGATACTTAATGCCCTCCTTTCACGTTAGGCCACAGAGACTGAGACTATAGTCTAAGGAGTTGATTGCTGTGCTTTCGAGCTTACTAAGGTCATATGTAACTTAAGAGGGGAAAAGCTGATGCTACATTATTGGTACAAAGGCTGGAGTTCTGTATGACACGTCAGTTCAGCAGTGTTCCGTAGATAAGTTGAAAATACTGTATTACAGAAACTACATACATAGCCTGTTTGGAATGATTATGCAACTTTTTTCTAGTGATCAAGGTTGTTGGGGAATTAGATTTTCACCTAAATCATTTAGGATTAAGTTTCTGCTAAAGGATCCCAAGTTTGCAGTAGTGAAGTGGATGTGGGCTAATGTAGGGCTGTTGTGAGTCATTTCCCCCTTAGCCATGATTGGTGACATCAGTTATTACAGAGATCTTTATAAAAAATGTCTTTACTCTCTGTGGCCTTCAGGACACATGTGGAGGATAAAGAATAATCAAAAGTTAAACTAAACTCTGGCAAATATAAATCACTAGATCTTTGGGGCTGTCATTCACTCAGGAAGAAGTATGTTCTGTGTGCCAGGCTTTGTACATTGCATTGGGGTAATAAAGGAAAAGACACAGTGTGCATCCCAGGAGAGCATTAGGAGTGCTCCATACATGGGACTAGAAAACATCAGGAAACACAAAGATGGAAGTAGTTTGTTTCAGAATCAGGGGCAGACCATGAAAAGCACTCTTCCCAGTGCAATTTATTTGTTAAATGGTTGATGGTTACCTGTTTCTATTGCTATATTTGGGCCACAGAGAGCTCTTTACAGTTGATCAGATGACATAGTGGTGTATTGAATGTCTGAGAGCTTGCATCGTTGGCACCAAGCTGGGGGAAGGGAATTTGCGCTACGATATGTACTCAGACCACTGTGGAATGACTTCTCATTAGATTCTAATGCACTAGATAAGCATGCCTTGCTTAGGATAAAGAAAACAGACACACTGACTTGGTAATATTTTATCCACCTGGGCTCATCTATCCAGAAGATAGCTGAGCACCAGAACTTTTTAAAAGTAATTTAAGCAGCCAAAATAGATAGCGCCAAGCCTTTATGCACAGATGCATCCACTCAGGGCTCATCTACACTTATGTAGCAGATCTGGACATCTGGTTTCTAAACTCATCTGTGGATTTTGAAAGCTGAAAATTAAAAGGGGAAGAGGAATGGAATATAAAAGGAATGGCCCAGTAACCGTAAGATAATGTGACAACTAATGCTTTTAAAGGAAGAGAAAGAAAGAAGATTTTAAAAAATGGAAAAGGGAAAATAAAAATTACTCAAATTATATTGCCATCTGTTTTGTTTAGAATCGAGTGCATTTGACTCATGGTGGAGGGATTGCTAAGATTTCTAGGGTGTGTGGTATTAGAATCTGAAAGTTTGAACTATTTCTCTGGTGATTTTCATGGTTTCAGGTGTGGCTGTTTCTTTATGCTTCTGTGGGGCAGTTGATGACCCTGGGAATGACCTCTATTCATCAAGAGATGATATATTCTCATCTTAGGAGGACAAAGATGTATATGCTAGCTCTTAAAATACTCCTAATAAAAAATGTTTATGGTTAGAATTTTGATACTTGAAGCATCAAATCCTCAGCTTCTTGAAAAACTTGGCTCTTCAGAGTCTTATTCACTGAAAAATTGACATTTTACTACATGAGAAAATTACACCAGGTAGCAAATATTAATTTGTATTATAAAAAAGTCACAGTTACTTTATAAGCAGTGAGTTCTTATAGTACTTTATAAATAACATTTTATGTGTATTATTCAGTTATAAAAAATTTGACTTGCATCTCTCCAGAAACACATCTGAACATCTGTAGTACTTTGTGTCTGTACTGTTCCTTTGCAATTTATTTTATCATTTTGCTTGTTATAGCTCATCTTCCTGGACATAAAGAGTGTTCTTATGTTTTCAGCTCCTTGTACATAATAGGTCCCAATAAATGTTTATTGAATGACTAATAATGAAACAAGTTACTCCGAGCTTTCTAATTAATCCTTTACAATCCATGTAAATACTTTCCATTATCTTTTTTCTTCATTTCTGATTATACTCTAAAATCTTTATGGTATTTGAACTGCATTTGATGATTAGAATTGTCAGAACACTTGAATTGATTCTTTATGCCTTTCTTTTTCCTTATTGAATTAAAGGGTGGAAACAGCATGAGGTATTGTGGAATGTGAATAGGTTATGGGTTTCAATAAAGCTCTGAAGTGTGTTTTCGTGGGCAGTCGTGTTCTTGCCTTGATGGGGTCACTGTGGTGAGGCTGGGGCCACGGGAGAGGCGTGTATCACAGCATCAAGAGGATGCTCACCTGCACTCACTCTGTTGTTGGTTCTAGGTGACTGTGGAGGAGGTCATGACCACAACTGCATATCTGGACCTTTTCCTGCGTAGCATCTCTGAGCCAGCACTACTTGAGATCTTCCTCCGTTTTATCCTATTGCACCAGCACGAGAATGTCCACATCCTAGACACTCTCACGAGTCGAATCAACACCCCGTTTCGGGTAAGGAGAGCGCCAGAGGAAGGGAACTTACAACTAAGAACAGATTTCAGGAGAGTTTGTTTTGGGAATGTAATTATGAATATTCTCTTTTGCTCTCTCACTCTCTGTTTTTCTTTCTTTTTTTTTTTTTTTTTTTGGTTGTTGTTGTTCTGTGGCCATTACCTTCTTTCTCTTTGGTTAGAGATGAATGGGATAATGTGTTTTGCTCTCAAGGATCCTTCTGTCAAAGAGGTGACACTTACTGCCTTTCATAGGACATCTTTTGTGATTTCTCTGTTTTAGTACTTTCTTCTGTAGAACTAGCAGAATGCACTTGTGTGGGGGCAAGATGCAGGGGAACACGTGGACCTAAGCGCAGATAAAGCCAAGGAACCAGAGTGCATCAGGTCTGGGTATTAGAGATCATATTCCTGTCCATGAGTTTTCCTGAAATGGAAGTTTGGAAAGTTGTGAATTTGGGTGGTCATTCTTCATTTTGAAGCTGTGATTAACTTGAAAAATACTCCTCCCCAAAGGCTGTCCCTATTTAATTGCAATTCTTGTTTTAAGAGCAAAAGAATGAGAATGTGTATATCATTCAGTTTGTAACATATATAGAGATAATATGTATAACAATAATTGCACAAAGGGGGAAAGAGGGAATAGACTTATATAGGAGTAATATTTCTATATTTCACTAGAGCTAATTTAATATAAATCTGAAGTAAATTCTGGTAAGTTAAAATGTATACTGGAAGCACTAGAGCAACCACTAAGAAAATAATTTAAAAATATAGTGGAAAAATCATTTAAAGGAATTAAAATGTTATACTAAGAAAATATTCAATTAGCACTACACTTAAGAGCAACATAATACACATTCTCCTCCAATGTACATGGAATATTCTCTAAGACAGACCATATGCTAGGCCATATAACAAACCTCAGTGAATTTAAGAGGATTGAAATCATGCAAAGTATGTTCTCTGATCATAATGGATGGAAATTAAAAAAATATTGACAAACAAATTTGGGAAATTCACAAGTATATGGAAATTAACACACTTCTAATCAGTGGGTCAAAGAAGAAATCACAAGGGAAATGAGAATTTACTTTGAGATAAATGAGAATGAAGACAAAATATACCCAGACTTATGAGATACAGTGAAAGCATTGTTTAAAGGGAAATATATAGTTGTGAACACATATGTTAAAAAAAGAAGAAAGAGCTCAAAGCAGTAACCTAAGCATCTATCATAATACACTGGAAAAAGAAGATCAAACAAAGCAGGCAAAGAGAAAACAATAAGGATTAGAGAGAAATTAATGAAATAGCAAATTTAAACAATGGAGAAAATAGGTGAAATAAAAAGTTGGTTCTTTGACAAGATTGACAAACCGTTGGCTAGGCTGATAAAAAAAGAGGGAAGTCTCAAATTACTAAAATGAGAAATGAAAGAGGAGGATATTACTATCAACCTTACAGAAATAAAAACAGTAAGTGAATACTATGAGCAACTATATGCCAAAGGATGACTTAGATGAAATAGAAAAATTCTAGAAAGACACAAACTTGTGAAATGGAAAATCTAAATAAATTTATATCAAAATAAGATTAAAATAGAAATTAAACAAACTACTCATAAAGGAAAGCCCAGACCCAGATGGCCTCACTGGTGAATTCTTTCAGACATTTAGGCACTAGTTAAAAAGTAAGGTCAGCAAAATGGTGGAATAGGAAGACTCAGGCCCTTATTCCCTCACAGAGAAACCCACTTAACAAAAATGTATGGACCAAATTGCCTTTGTGAGAACTTCAGAAACTTTGTAAGAACACCAGTTAAGAGGTTGTAGCACAAAGCCAAGAAGAGACATATTGAAGTGTGCAGGAAAATAGGTGGCATTATTACCTGCTCTAGCCATGCACCCTCCCCAACACAGTGTGGCAAGATCCAGAGAAAACTTCCAACTGCTGACTTTTACCTTGTGAGGGAAAGAGAAGAGTGAATTGCTGGCTTCACATTGCTGCTTATGTTCTGTCTGTTTATTGGGAAAAGAGGAATAAAATAGCTGTAAGACACACAGAAAACAACAAAATGGAAATAGTAAGTCCTTCCACCTCAGTAATTATTTCAAATGTAGATGGATTACACACTCCAATCAAAAGATATAAACTGGCTAAATAGATTAAAAAACATGATCCAAGCATATACTGTCTAAAAGACACTCACTTTTGATCTAAGAACGTGTATAAGCTGAAAGTCAAAAGATGGAAAAATATATCCCATGCAAATGGTAACTAAAAGAAAGCAGAGATGGTTGTACTTATATTTTAAAAATTAGATATTAAGGTAAAGAGACAAAAAAAGACACAAGAGATAAGGAATGACATTATGTAGTGATAAAAGGGTCAATTCACTAGTAAGATATAAATATTATATATAACATCAGAGTTCTCAAATATATGAAGCAAACATTGACAGAATTACAGGGAGAAACAGACAGCTGCACATTAATAGTAGGAGACTTCAATGCCCTACTTAAATAGTGGATAAAAATATCAGACAGAAGATAAAGAAGGAAACAGGATTTGAACAACACTATAAACCAGTTGGACCTAACAGACATATACCAAATGCTCCACCCAGCAATGGCAGGATATACATTCTCCTCAAGTGCACATGGAACATTCTCCAAAATAGACCACTTGTGAGGTCACAAAACAAAGTTTAACACGTTTACAAAAATTGAAAGCACACAAATAATTTTTTTCTGACTGCAGTGGAATGAAACTAGAAATAAATAGTAGAAGAAACAGTGGAAAAAATTATGAATACATACAAAGTAAACAACACATTCTTGGGCCAAAGAAGAAATCACAAGGGAATTTAGAAAATATCTGGAGACAAGTGAAAATGAAAGCACAATATCCCCAAACTTATGAGATGCAGTGAAATAGTACTAAGAGGGAATTTTATAGCTGTAAACACTTAGGTTAAAAAAAAGAAGATCTTGAAGCAGCAACCTAACTATACATCTCCAGGAACTAGACAAAGAAGAACGAACTAAAGTCAAAGTTAGCAGAAGGAAGGAAATGATAAAGATCAGAGCAAAAATCAGTGAAATGAAGAATAGAAAAACCAATGAAACCAAGACTTGGTTTTTTGAAACAACAACAACAATATTGATTGACCCTTAGCTGTATTAACTAAGAAAAGAGAGATGACTCAAATAACTAAAATCAGAAATGAGAGAGGGGACATTACAACTTATGCCACAGAAATTAAAAAGAACATACCACAAACAATTATACACCAACAAACTGGATGATCTAGAAGACCTAGATACATTCTTAGAAGCATAGAACCTATCAAAAATGAATCATGAAGAAATTTAAAAAAAGTCTGAACAGACTTACCTCTAGTAAGGAAATCAAAGTTGTAATAATAATTTAAAAATCTTAAAGAAAAACCCAGGACCAGATGGCTTCACTGGAGTAGTCTACCAAACATGTAAAGAAGAATTAACATCAGTCCTCCTTGAATTCCTAAAAACTTGAAGATCCAGGAACATTTTCAGACTAATTTTATGAGGCCAGTATAGTCCTGATACCAAAGCTAGACAAAGGTACTTCAAGAAAACTAGAGACCAGTATCCCTGATGACTATTGATGCAAAAATCTTTAACAAAATACTAGCAAAAAGCATTAAACAGCACATGATAAGGATTGTACAACATGACCAAGTGTAATTTATTCCTAGAATACAATGATGCTTCACCATATGAAAGTCAATCAGTATAATATACCACGTTAATAGAATGAAGGACAAAACCCACAGGGTCATCTCAATTGATAGAAAAAGCACTTGACAAGATGGATTAGAGACATTAAATATTGGATAATCCATAGAATCTAGAGGAAAACTTAGTAGTACCCATTCTAGGGGGAAATAGGCATGCAAGAAGCTCATGTCTAAAAACACCAAAGCGATGGCGAGCAAATGCAAATTGCAATGGGTCTCATTAACTAAAGGCTTCTGCACACAAGAAACTCCATCGAGGGTGCACAGGGCAACTACAGAATGGGGAGAAATTTGCAATCTTCATCTGAAAGGGCTAATTCCAGAACCTACAACAACTCAAAAAATTACAAGAAAAAACAATACCATCAAAAGTGGGCAAAGGGATTATGAAAGCATTTCTCAATAGAGAATTATTAAAGCAACCGCACATGAAAAATGCTCATCATCACTTGGGCCATCAGAGAAATTGCAAATCAAAACACATGAGATACCACTCACACAGGTAGAATGGCGATCATTCAAAAGTCAGGGAACCCACAGGTCGCCTGGGAGGATGTGGAGATTAGGCCACTGTTTGACCACTGCTTGGTCCAGGTCTCAGTGGGATTGTAACTGTTTCAGCCATTTGAAAACGGATGCGATCTCTCAGAGGATCAGAATGATGTCCATATGACCCAGCCACTTCCATTACTGGGGTATATTACCCAAGGTTTAAAATCTGTGCTTAAAGACACATGCCGTATGGTTTATTGCAGTATTCACATAGAAGACTTTGGAATCAAACCAACTTATTCGGATCAGCCGTGCAGATTGGGATTAAAGATATTCATCAGGTGGATGGTATACCTCGGATACTATGCGCATTAAAAAGGGATTGAGTTTCGCTGTTCTTTGTAAGGAACGGTATCGATTGCCGCTGAGAAACGTAATGTTCTCAGGCACTATCACGAGAGACGAACCCAACACAGCGATGTTTACTCATAGTGGGAACGACAATGAGATCACTTGGACTCCGGGAAGGGGAACTCACACACGGTTGGCCTATTTCCATGGGGAGGGTGGGAGGGGGTAGGGAACCTTGCATTGGGGAGTTATACCTGATGTAAATGCGAGATTGGATGGGTTGTTGACAGGTTGGATGGGCGTGAGCACGGCACTAGTGGGACAGTGACATACATATGTAACAGGCCCTGCGCGTCCGGTTCATTTTACTGTTA